GTAGACTCTCAGTGTGTGTCTGTACCAAATCCGGCACACATCAGCCAATCAGATCAATGTATAACTATTGGTAGAGGCGCACACGGGGGAGGGGTCTCCGGCTACCTTGGGTGAGTCTGTACCTTCAGGGCCCATGTACATCTCTGTGGTGCGTTATGTTGACGTGCGTCACGTTGAGTTGGTTCGTTTAACCAGTTGACATCCGCGGTGTTAGACCCCCTTCCTGGCCAGGCCATTTTTCAGTGTTCAGCGCTGCGGTACTTTATGGACTGCCAAGGCGTTCCTAACGTGTCCCTGAAACGCAACACACTGACATGCGTTGCAGTGTGCTGCCTTGCAGGTTTGTTGGGGTGACTGAATGATGCCACAATGTAGCAACGCATGTTACATCCATTACCGCAACATGGAAGTGTGAGTTCATCCCAAACACTCAACGTGGATCAAACACAAACCGGTGACACTGGTACCGGGGCAATCCAGCCGGGACATAGGCATAGGTGCTACAGAATCCCCCCCCCCCACCCCCCCAATGGGGAATGGAGGGAGAGGAAGACCCCCATACATGTCCCCCAGGGCAGTACCCGGACCCCCATACATGTCCCCCAGGGCAGTACCCGGACTCTTCAATTAAAGTGGATTTAAACCCAATCTAAAAATCTCATATCACCATCACCGTGTTATTGTCATTTTCAATATTTTCTTTATTGGCAGCTTTCATTAAATTAATCCCTGGTGATCCTGCCATGGAGGCCCCTTGTATAGCCACTTCCTGTTATATAGTGACAACGCTCTGCCCCTGTCTCCTAAGTGTCCTCCTGAGTTGTCACCCTGCCACACGGGCTTCCAACGGAGACCACAAGTAGTCATTTCATCACAAATTACACCGACATGGTCCACTGTTGTCACCATCAGGAAACCCACCCTGAGAAATGCCATACAGCCATCGCTGGAGTGCATGTAAACCGGAAGTGGCTACAAAGAGGCTGCAGGAGATCAGCAGCACTGAGAGGGGGGGCGGGGGTAGCAAAATGTATGTAACAGATGCACAGAGCTCAGAGCAAACTGATGTCCTTCATGAGGGTTCTCCGCGGAATGTTTTGGGGCTCAGTTCACAAAGGATAAGGATCCTCCTTCATCGAGGATCCGGCGTGGGCGGGGCTTAAAAAGAAAAAACGCGCTGGCTGCAAAATGCAACGTGGGTTAAACGCACGCGCCGCCGGGGCGAACGAATGGTTTGCGAAGGCAACGATGTTTCTTCTGCTGGATACAATGAGGGGAATGTATCAAAACAGGAGCAGCTGCGCACGGCAACCAATCAGTTTCTCTGTCTCATTTTCACATCTTACCTGAGCAAACCGAAGAGAGATGCTGATTGGTTGCCACGGGCAACCACTCCAGATTCTGCCTGGAGCAGTTTTGATCATTTCTCCCCCCCCCGCCCCTTTTTATTGATACAATGAGTCCACCCGACGCATCCCCTTTAAATGACAAATGGTGGCAGCAATGCAGAGAGGGGGCTCCGGGGGTTGCTTTGCTCCCGTTGCCGCTTTGCTTCCTGTTATTAGGCGATTCCCTTGATGTCTGACACACACACAGGCAGGAAGTGATCCCTACAATGAGCCCACGTTGGATCTTATCAGCTTGGGAACTACAGCCCCCAGAATTCCAGAGCGGGAGAAGGTCATGGCTCCCCCTGGGGCTGAGGTCATCCTCCTGTTGGCTTGGCTCTGATAGAGAAAGCTGCTGCAGCTGAGGGTGTTATCTGAGTGCTTGTGTCAGCCAGTGCAGGCATCTCCCCATCCTCCTCCTCCTCCTCCTCCTCCTCCCCATCCTCCTCCTCCTCTTCTCCTCTGTCCACAGCAGAAGATCCAGCATCATTCCCAGTCCCCACCCCATCCTCAGCCCCTGTTTTCCCCCTGTCATTCTCTCACAGACAGCGGCCGCAATGAATGAGCATCCACAGCCCAGAAGGGACTAGGCGTTTCCAGCTGCCTCTCATGATCATCAAAGGGGATTAGCTACCCCAAATCTGCAGGTGACACCCATCACGCCGGGACCTCTCTGTGGAGGCTGATCCCTGCCCCCGCTGCGGAGCTGGGAATCAGCTCCATCCTGACACCTGAGTCTCCATCTCTGCCAGCGATGCTCCATGGATGCTCTGCTGTTGACAGGGAGATGCCACCAAGGGATTGCTGAAGGCGTTGGATCCAGCCGTGGAGGGAGGCGGTGAGGAGGAACCGTTGAGGGGGAACGTTTTTTTTTTGCGGGGTAGACGGGTGAATGTCAGCGTCTGAGGGTGCCGCGCTGCATTCCTCGGAATAAACAAATATCACAACAGAGGAGACGCAGAAGGGGAGGGGAGCAAGATGTGCAGCAAAACCAAGAACAGCGAGGCCCTGAAGGTGGTGGTAAGATGCCGCCCAATCAACAGGAAAGAAGAAGGGGGCGGCTACGACAGGATCGTGGCCATGGATGTCAAATTGGGGCAGGTGACCATCCGGAATCCGAGGGTGAACCCCGGGGAGCTGCCAAAGACATTCACCTTTGACGCCGTCTACGACGCCGGTTCCAAGCAGACAGACTTGTACGATGAGACAGTCAGGCCTCTCATCGATTCCGTCCTGCAAGGGTTCAATGGCACCATCATTGCCTACGGGCAGACCGGCACGGGCAAGACCTACACCATGCAGGGTTTCTGGGCCGAGTCGGATAAAAAAGGGGTGATTCCCAATTCCTTTGACCACATTTTCACCCATATCTCCAGGTCCCAGAACCAGCAATACTTGGTGAGGGCGTCCTACCTGGAGATCTACCAAGAAGAGATCCGAGACCTCTTGTGTAAAGACCAGAACAAGAAGTTAGAACTCAAGGAGAACCCTGAAAGCGGAGTGTATATTAAGGACCTATCCTCCTTTGTGACCAAGAACGTGAAGGAGATAGAGCACGTCATGAATTTAGGGAACCAGGCTCGGTCGGTGGCCTGCACAAACATGAACGAGCACAGTTCCAGGTCCCACACAATCTTTGTCATCACCATAGAGTGCAGTGAACTGGGTGTGGATGGGCAGGAACATATCCGAGTGGGGAAACTCAACCTGGTGGACCTGGCTGGCAGCGAAAGGCAAAGCAAAACAGGGGTGAATGGAGACCGGCCCAAGGAGGCTTCAAAGATCAACCTCTCCCTATCAGCCCTGGGTAACGTCATATCAGCTCTGGTGGATGGTCGTAGCACCCACATTCCCTACAGAGACTCCAAACTCACCCGTCTATTACAGGACTCTCTCGGTGGCAACGCTAAAACCATAATGGTGGCCACCCTGGGCCCAGCCTCTCACCACTACGAGGAGACCTTGTCCACTCTCAGGTTTGCCAACAGGGCTAAGAACATCAAGAACAAGCCAAAAATTAACGAGGATCCCAAGGACACTCTGCTGAGGGAATTCCAGGAGGAGATCGCCAGGCTGAAGGCCCAGCTGGAGAAACGAGGGATGCTCAGCAAGAAGCGGCGGCGGAACAGCCGCAGGAAAAAGTCGGTGGACGGGGAAACCATTCCGGACACGGAGACCGAGGAGGAGAACGACGACAACTTCATAGAGAAGAACATTCGGAGCTACTTGAAGGAACAAGCTGAGAGGCTGCAGCAGGAGAAAGCCGCCATCCAGGAGGACCACAGCCTGCTGGAGGAGGAGAAGATGAAGCTGATTGAAGAGAAGGAGAGGATGATGGAGGATTTAACAAAGGAGCAGAAAGCCACGGAGATGCTGGCCGTGAAATTCCAGGTAATTCTTTTTCAATATTGACATTCTAAAGTGTGAACCCAAAATCTGCATGAAATGCTGTATTTGTATGGTGTGATGGGTGATCAGCTGGGCTTGTAGATGCTGGAGACTACAAGTATCACCATGGCCTTTAGATGCTGGAGACTACAAGTATCACCATGGCCTTTAGATGCTGGAGACTACAAGTCCCACCATGGTCTTTAGCTGCTGGAGACTACAAGTCCCACCATGGTCTTTAGATGCTGGAGACTACAAGTCCCGCCATGGCCTTTAGATGCTGGAGACTACAAGTCCCGCCATGGCCTTTAGATGCTGGAGACTACAAGTCTCACCTTGGCTTTTTGGCTGCTGGAGACTACAAGTCCCGCCATGGCCTTTAGATGCTGGAGACTACAAGTCCCGCCATGGCCTTTAGATGCTGGAGACTACAAGTCCCGCCATGGCCTTTAGATGCTGGAGACTACAAGTCCCGCCATGGCCTTTAGATGCTGGAGACTACAAGTCCCGCCATGGCCTTTAGATGCTGGAGACTACAAGTCCCGCCATGGCCTTTAGATGCTGGAGACTACAAGTCCCGCCATGGCCTTTAGATGCTGGAGACTACAAGTCCCGCCATGGCCTTTAGATGCTGGAGACTACAAGTCCCGCCATGGCCTTTAGATGCTGGAGACTACAAGTCCCGCCATGGCCTTTAGATGCTGGAGACTACAAGTCCCGCCATGGCCTTTAGATGCTGGAGACTACAAGTCCCGCCATGGCCTTTAGATGCTGGAGACTACAAGTCCCGCCATGGCCTTTAGATGCTGGAGACTACAAGTCCCGCCATGGCCTTTAGATGCTGGAGACTACAAGTCCCGCCATGGCCTTTAGATGCTGGAGACTACAAGTCCCGCCATGGCCTTTAGATGCTGGAGACTACAAGTCCCACCATGGCTTTTAGATGCTGGAGACTACAAGTCCCACCATGGCCTTTAAATGCTGGAGACTACAAGTCCCACCATGGCTTTTAGCTGCTGGAGACTACAAGTCCCACCATGGCTTTTAGCTGCTGGAGACTACAAGTCCCACCATGGCTTTTAGATGCTGGAGACTACAAGTCCCACCATGGCTTTTAGATGCTGGAGACTACAAGTCCCACCATTGTTTTTAGCTGCTGGAGACTACATGTCCCACCATGGCTTTTAGGCCTTGTACATACAGGGAACTTGATACAAACTACAAATGTATCCAGAGCCAAGGACAAACATGTCATATTGCAGCTTACCGCACCTGAGATGTGGTGGCTTCATGAGGGACTTTGTTGATGGGTTTATGTTCACATCACCCTAGGACAGGAAGTGTGTTACTGGCGGGGTCACCAGGTGAAACAAGCCCGAAATAGAATACTACAGGCCGGTGTCTATGGGTGTCTGCGGGCTTTTGGACTTTGGATAAGATCCGTGTGTACGGCGAGCATCTACAAAGCTTCATACCATTAGCCTCCTTGATGCCTATAGACCAGGCATCAAGACAGAATCTGGAGCAGTTGCCCATGGCAACCAATCAACTTCTCTCTTCAGTTAAGATTTGAAAATGAAAGAGAGAAGCGGATTGGTTGCCATGACAACTGCTCCAGTTTTTGTCTGCTCCAGTTTTGATAAATTCCCCTCTGTGTATGTATATACAGGTGAAACTGGAATAATTAGAATATCGTGCAAAGTTCATTTATTTCACTAATGCAACTTATGCGGTGAAACTAATATATGAGAGAGACTCATTACATGCAAAGCAAGATAATTCAAGCCGTGATTTGTCATAATTGTGATGATTATGGCTTACAGCTCATGAAAACCCCAAGAACCCCAAATCCACAACCTCAAAAAAGTAGATTATTACATGCAATCAATAAAACAAGGATTGTACATAGAACAATATCGGACCTCTGAAAAGTACAAGCATGCATATGTACTCAGTACTTGGTTTGGGCCCCTTTTGCAGCACTTACTGCAATTACTTTTGCACGATATTATAATTATTCGAGTTTCACCTGTATATGGCCATCCTTATAATGAGGCAGCCTGAGGCTGTTGCCTCCGGCGGCATCTTTTTTGTGTCACGTGGGGGGGGGCAGCAGGCAGAGTGGCATGTCAATTTTTGCAGCGTGCCTGCTGCTCCTTTCTGGCCAGAATGTCCCAGGATGCGTAGAGCCAGCCGGGGAGATGAGTAAGGCCCCGTTCACACTGAGCGGTTTATCGCACGATTTTTGCCGCGAAATAGCGCATATTTCCACGGGATATCGCTCTGTGTAGCTCGTCCAATGCATTTCAATGGAGCTGTTCACATCCCACGGCTCAATGTCGCCTGTAGCTCCTCGCTCGTACATGACCCTTTTTTTTTTGCCGCGCAATTCGGCTCCAATACACTCTATAGCGTCACGCAAAATCGCGCATTACCGGCGATATTGCGCGACTTTTATGGGGGGACGATATCGCGCTACAGAAGGGGTCACTTTTGCACTGCAAAATGGAAGGCTAGAATGATGTCACATCAAGATCGCTGTTGCTTGGTTACAGCCCGATGTAGCAGCGACCAAGTCCCGCCCCCCCCAAAAAAGCGCTACGTAGAGCGATAAAAATGTGCACCGTCGCTCAATATCGCGCAATGTAGCTCATAGACGCTCCGCGCGAAATTGCGCCGGAAAAACATGCAATATCTATGTCGCTCAGTGTGAATGGGGTGTAAGGGAAACCTGGGATGCTGTGGCCGGTATCATGACCCTAATCCCCCCCCCCCCCTCCATCGTTGGCATGCCCCCCCCGCAGCCCCCTTACCGCTTCAGGAGCGATGAAGGAGTGCCGCCATCTTGGAATTTTATTGGATAGCGGCGTGGAACCTGCTGGCCTCACATACATGGGGAACTCGAGCTAGTCATCCCTGTTTATGTCTCATTTGTGTCACTAAGTCTCACCCGCCCCCGACCTCTCCGTAGAGGTTTGCTCAGATGTGAGGCCTTCGCTCCGCGCGTCTCTTGGCTCTTGTGGCCCCATCTGTTCCCTCGCGGTCCCGGCCTCCGTCCAGCCGGGGCCGATGCTTTTGGCTTCTCTCATCTCATGGGAAGTCGGAATTCTTCTCGCCGTCGGTCTTCCCTTTGTCATCTGATTCATATTTGGCGTCCGGATCGCGGCGAGCTTCTCCTCCAGCGTCTGATGAGCTGCCAGCAGGCACTGGGCTTGTCCCGACTCCAAGGTCCTTCCCGCTGTGAAATCCTCCGCGCCATCTCAGCGACGTGCGCCGACGGGTGAACATCTGGGTGGAAATAGCCGCGTTTGGCGCGTCTTTCTGCCACATGGGAAAGATCTCCGCCGCGGCCTGCCGCGGATTGGACGAGTTCCTCCGTCATCGAAGAATATGCCGGCGTGTACAGTGCAGAAGAGGCGAGGTCACCGCAATTCTCAGATCTATGTAATGATATCCAATGCTGCAGATATCTCACACTGCTACCATGCGGCGCTGCAGCCTCTTGTCACATGACCACTGTGGGTGGGACTGCAGTGTCCTCAGTGAGAGAGAGAGATGTTCTACAGACTTGTTTTCAGGCTCAATTAATAAAAATTGAGGATTTCTACCCCTCCGTTCTATGTTCTCCACCCTTCTCTGCAATGTTCTCCACCCTTCTCCACAATTCTCTCCACCCTTCTCTGCAATGCTCTCCACCCTTCTCCTCTATGATCTCCACTCTTCTCCTCAATGCTCTCCACCCTTCTCCACAATGCTCTCCACCCTTCTCCTCAATTTCTCTCCACCCTTCTCCTCAATGCTCTCCACCCTTCTCCTCAATTTCTCTCCACTCTTCTCCTCAATGTTCTCCACCCTTCTCCTCAATGTTCTCCACCCTTCTCCTCAATGCTCTCCACCCTTCTCCACAATGCTCTCCACCCTTCTCCTCAATGCTCTCCACCATTCTCCTCTATGCTCTCCACCCTTCTCCTAAATGTTCTCCACTCTTCTCCTCAATGCTCTCCACTCTTCTCCTCTATGCTCTCCACCCTTCTCCTCAATGTTCTCCACCCTTCTCCTCAATGCTCTCCACCCTTCTCCTCAATGTTCTCCACCCTTCTCCTCAATGTTCTCCACCCTTCTCCTCAATGTTCTCCACCCTTCTCCTCAATGTTCTCCACCATTCTCCTCTATGCTCTCCACCCTTCTCCTCAATGCTCTCCACCCTTCTCCTAAATGTTCTCCACCCTTCTCCTCAATGCTCTCCACCCTTCTCCTCAATGTTCTCCACCCTTCTCCTCAATG